GGGCCTCGGCGGGCGGGCGGGCCGCGCGCGGGACTTACCGCTCCGGCGGCGGCGGCGGGAGCCCCGGCGGCGGCCGCCTCCTCGTCGTCGTCGCCCGGCGATGGCGGCCCTATCTTGCTGCAGGTAGCGGCCAACAGAGCGAGCGGTGACGGCTGAGTGTCCTACCCCCGAGGGGCGGGTTCAGAGAGGGAGACAGGGAGGGGTGGCGGTTAGGGCCGTCGCTCGCACAGGAAGTGGGCCCGGGCCTCGCCTGGCCCGGCGTGGCGGCGCCCGGCCCGCGCTCTCCTCCTCCTCCTCCTCCTCCTGTTCGGCTCGTCCTCCCGCTCGCTCGCTCGCTCTCTCGCCCGCCCGCCCCGGCCCGCGCGCCGGGCCTCCCCTCGGCCGGAACCCACCCCGGGAGGGCGCGCACACTCGCACTCCAACACGCACAAAAAGGCGGCAGGCGGCGGGCGGGGCGGCGCGGGCGGGGTCGAGCGTTGGCGCCTCGGGCGGGCAGCTCCCGGGGCGGGGGAGGGGAGGGACGGAGGGAGGGAGGGAGGGGAGAGGCGAGGGGAGGAGAAAGCGGCGCGAGGGGGAGCCGGCCGGGCTCCGCCGCTCCTCACCTGGGCCGCCGCCGCCGCCGCCGCGCCGTTTCCATGCTGCTGCTGCTGCTGCAGATACTCGCCGTGGCCGCCGCCGCCGCTGTCCACGTCCAAGGCAGCCATTTCCTCTTGTTTCACGGGCTTTTCGGGAGCTGCAGGCACAGCGCGGGGGGGGGAGGGGGTGAGGAGGGGGAGGGGAGGAAGGCGGGTGGAGGAGAGGGAGGGGGCCCGCGGGCCGCGGCGAGATCACTCTGAGCCCGGCCCAGGCCCCATCCCCTCCCCCACCCGCCCCCCGGCGGCGCGGCGGCTCCCTCCGCCCCTCCTGCTGCTGCCCCCGCCCGCCGCGGCTGTAACCCTCCTCCTCCTCCTCCCCGCGCTGCCCCTGCCCCCTCTCCTCTCCTCTCCTCTCCTCCCCTTTCCCTTCGCGGCGCTCGCTCCTCTCGCACCGTCAGTCACTCACACTCGCCCGCCCGCCGCCCGCGCCCGCACACAGGGGGATGCGCTCCCGGTGGACCGGACTGGGCCGCCCGCCCCGGGCCCGGCGGAAAGACGGCGTGGCTGGGGCTGGAGGGCTGGACGGTGGCTGGCGGGGAGGGGAGGAAAGGAAGGGAGTGCGGCTTTCTGCCTCTCACAGACACTCGGTCGCACACTCGGGGCCGAGAACCGGCGGCCCCGGGCTGGCTGTGGTCGGCAGCGGCGGCGGCGGAGGCAGCAAGGGTTGCTCTCTCTCGGCTTTACGTACCGGTCATAGTGTGTTTAGGGCACCTCAGGCGGGGCTCCCCGCCGCCTTACACATGGTGAGGAGCGAAGGCGGCGGCGGCGGGAGAGGATGCGGGAAGCGGCGGCGGACACGGCCGGAGCGGTCCGGGGATTTTTTTTTCCTATTTTGATTGACTGTGCGGGAAACACAAAAGGTGGAGCCTCCAGCCCAAAAGGGGGGAAGAGGGTGACAGCCCGCCCGGAAGTCCCGCCCCTCTTCTCCGTGCTCATTTGTCGCCACGTTCTCCGTCGGCAGTGCTCATTGGTCCGGACGCCTGTCTGTCGCGTGGCCAGGCGGCGCGCTTCCTGTTTGCCCCCCGGGTGGAAGGGGAGAGACAATGAGCGGCCGTGGCAGCGTAGGTTCCCAAGAGCGGCAGCGGCTCGCCCGTAACCCCGCTGTGCCTGCCTTGCTCGCCGGCTGCGCTGCCAGGCCCTAGGCGAAGGCCTTCTCCACCTCGCTGTGTCTTGGAGCAGGCCCCACTGAGCTGCCGGGGAGCCAAGCAGGGGAGGAAACCCATCCCCGGTGTCTCCGGCTCCGCTCGACGTTTCCTCCATCCCCTCGGTAGACTCTCCCCAGGGCCTCGTGCGCTCGGAGCTGCCGCTTCCCTGCACTGCCAGGAGGCCGCCGCCGCTCAGCCCTGGGGCTGCTGCTGCGGCCGCTGCTGCTACTGAGCGAAGCAGACCCGCCCCGCGAGCCCGGGGGGAGGGAGCTGGTATTGGGGGGAGACACCCCCTCCGAGGCTGGAGGAGGATTTTCTCTCACATTCAGCTCCGACTCACGGTCGGAGCCATCTCGCTCCCAGCCCCCAGCCCCAGCTTCCCGCGGTCTCCCACGTCGATGCACCCTGGAGGCAGGTACTTAGAGCCAGTAAGAAAGCCTAGTCACCTCAATGGAGGAGAGCTTCAGTTCTGGCCCAGGGCACCAAAACAGACTTAAAGTATATTTTATTTTACCCATGTTCAATGAGGCAGACTCCTTTAAAAGACAAAGTCTAATATCATTTTGCTGCGCACACATTATTCCGTTTTTAATCCTCTTGATAGCAAGTCAACATCTCCTGAAAAAGCCCGTCCACAGTTGCCAACATTTTTAAAATAGTGAATCTCACGGAAGTGTCGTTCCTCCCCCCGCCGCCCCCCCCCACCTTTGGAACATTTAGTTATACTTTAAATCTGTTTTCACTTACTGGGTTAACACCCCTTATTTCTTTGGCATCCTCAATATCTTGCTGTCATCCTGGGGCGAAATGCTCAGATTTTATGTGTACTGCCAAGTAAGAGACATCTCTGCCTATTACCTTTAGATGTGGTTGCCAAGAAAGAGGTTACATTCAAGCAGTGGAAAAAAGTGTTCACAATACCCCTTCTATCAGAAGTCTGATTCAAACAGGATTTAGTGTTCCAATTATAATTGTTAAATTTTGTGTAATAAATGAGGTGCTGGGGGATGAGGTTGTGAAGTCCAAGCCCTTGAACTAGATTTTATGTGTACTAAAAAAAATTCTTAATTCATTTGCAAGAGACTGAGTTTGCATCTCAGTTCCAAAATACTTATTTTTTGCCAACTATGCTCATAATTGTGCAAAGGATCAAGGTACTAGGGAACTGACCTTAAAAACCCAAACTCGAAATTCTAAGTTTAAGAATAGAATTCATCTCTCCTAATAGTAATTTGATCTTACATTTAGCTAGAAGAATCACTTTAGAAGTTGAATAATACAAATTCTGTACCATTTTACACTTTTTTTTTTTGCACTTAAATTTTTAAAGGAAAAAATGTCATAGAATAAGCTGATGGGTAGCAAGAGGGATGAATGGATTGAGGAACAGGACTGAGGTGAAAAACAGCAGAATGGGAAAGTGGGAGCCACTCTTTATCCTTACCTGGATACGTTGGATAGAGGGTAGCTCATTCCCTGAAAGGGGTATTTCAAGAATTTTCAGGGTTTTTTTTTTTTTTTCCAGTAGTATGGATTTGTTGATGTTTTATGTCCTTTTTGCAACGGGTTAGTCCAGTCACCATAGAAAGCAAAGTACTTGACCATGGAAATTAAATTCATCTCTTCATTGATGGTAATTGCCAAGTGACATGAAGAAATTGTTTTCAATTTTTTTGGTCCATAGACCATTGTGACATGCGAAAACACTTCTGATTTTTCTGGGAAGAAGAAAATAACACGCCTGAACTAACCTGCTTTAATGCAAGGCTCTTAGAAGGGATACATACAGCAAAAGTATCACTCACTATGACAGATTCAGAGAACCTTCTCAGACCACACTTGTAAGAGTTACTGCTGTGAACTATCTTAAGATGGTTGAAAATGAGGATAGTCTCTTGTATCTTTTTCTTAACTATTGGAGTGCTTCTGTCAGAGCTTGAATTACAAGGCTGCAGGTGTACTCAGAAATAGATACTTGCCTAGCATGCACAAGGCCTGGAGTTTGATCCCCAGCACCACTAAAAAAAGTTTTTTTAATTAAACAAACTTGAAATACAGTTTAATTGAAAGGTGTTTATTTTCTTAGTAGGACTACCTCTCAATGGCACCCACTACTATGTTTTATGTAAAAATCCAAAAATTGCATTTGCTTAATAAAGAGAGAAGCACAGCCCTGAGTATATGTTTTCCTTTACAAGATAATTTGAAATCTGGGAGCCAGTGACTTACGTCTGTATCCTGGGCAAATAGTTCACAAGATCTTTATCTATTTTAGAGATTCTGTCTCAAAAACACCCAACATAAAAAAGGGCTGGTGGATTGGTTCAAGGTGTAGACCCTGAGTTCAAGCCCCAGTACCGGGGTGGGGGGGGGAAGATTTGAGGAAACTCTCCTGGCCCACTGTTTGTATCGCACACAGAAATCTGAATGCCACTTCATTTTGCTCCCTCACCCTCGGTATCACAGTACCCTCACTTGGGGAGTGTGTGTGTGAGTTTTCTTAATTCTTTGGGAACATGATGAAAGTTAGACGGTAGGTTGAGCGCATAGTTCAAGTTGTAGAATACTGTCCTGGCCTAGCAAGTGTGACGCTCTGAGTTCAAGCTCCAGTATTACAAAAAGAAAAAGTCCCCAAAGACATTTATGCTCCTGCTCCTCTACAAAGAGATGCGGTCACTAAGTGTTGTTTCATCTACATCTGAAAGAGCCTGTCCATTGTGTATTAGAAACCAGACAGCCTGCTTTACTGGACCACTCCTGAAGCATGAACTCTGACCTTCAAGTCCCAACTTACACATTTCTGCCCTTTAAACATCCAAGTGAATCATATAAAATTGCCAATGCTTAGTTGTTTTTCATCCAAAAAGGTGGTGATTTGGTATAGTTCAACCTCATGAACATAACCTTTTGTTGCTATGTTTGGGTCCCTATTTTTTTATTTGCCCCAGCCCTCTAATCTGTTCACTTTGAATTTCAAGAATCTTAATTTGTTCTTTCTATTTACCTGATCACTGTCACACTTAAGAAACATTCAACTTTATATTAACTAGGTATACTTAACCTTCATAGTTCATATCTTCCCTATTTTCTCTAAAAACCTACCTCAAAGGGCTGGGGGTGCGATTCAAGTAGTAGAGTGAGGCCCTGACTACCCCAGTACCGCCAAAACCAAAACATACCCAGAAAGAAATATCCATTTATTTTTAAATCTACCAAAAGGTAGGGGTAAAATTGTTTAGCTTTTACTCTATACTGAGCCCTTCACATCTTTAATTTTGTTTAATCCTCACAAATTTATGAGATAAATATCATAGATTGTTCATTTTACAGATGAAACTAAGGTTCACCAAGATCAGGGAACTTGATCAGTGTCCTACAATCAACAAATCAAGTCTTCTTAAATGATCAGTTTAAAAGATTCACCCACCTATAATCTGAAAAATAAATAAAAGATAAAGACACAATAGGGGTGTGGCTCAGTGGTAGAACAGAAGCCCTAGATTCAATCCCTAACGCCAAAGAAAAAAATACAATCAGTATATAAAGCAAATCTTCCTTAGAATGAGTACTCACCAATACCTAACATGTTATAGATGTTTAATATTCAACAGACAATTACCTTGTGGGGAAATGAATGAAAATTAAAATTAACTGATAAATATTGTATGATAAATTTTTTGACTTTATAATAGTTCACCTCTTTCAAGATTACCTTCCCCAATAAATTAGATCCTTATTTTCAGTCAAGCTGCACATGAAGGATATCACTATGGTACAAAAGGACTGATGCTCTTACATTTTAAGGAATTTCATTCTCTTTATCCAGGTTATTGACATTTTATTATTCAAAATGTTCTTATTATCAGCAACACTACTGACATCATCTTTATGTTAGTCCAGGAAGTTGAGTCTACTCACACTAGATTTCTAAGTCAGAACAATTTTCCAAGAAAAGCTGTTTCATGTATTTCTACCTTGTTAATAACCTATCTTGGAAGAATATAGAAGGCTAAGATTCTCTTGGTTGTAAATTAATGAACTTGAAAGGTAACCTTACTAAACAAATAATAACAACCTAACACTACAAGTGTGATGTCCTTAAATAATGAACAACCTTCAGAACAGTACATTTCATGATTAAATCTCTATGTTATGCAATAGAATTTCTTTTAATCATACAAATCAGTCACATTAACCAATCTCAAAACAACCAAACAAACCTGTGGCCTCACTAGAGAAGGTAAGAGAAAAGGGAAAGAAAATAATGAATGAAATAACAGAGAAAAGATTGGATAAAACTCTAGAAAATATTGAAGACCACTCTTAACTTGAAGAAATAGAATTTCTCTAATTCCCTCTAAAATGGCTAGAATGCTACATTATATCATCACCCCATTTCAACCCAAGAACTAGAGTAAAAAATGCATTATACACACACATATATACATACTGTCTTCATCTGTTTCATGTACTATAACAAAATGTCTGAAATTAGGTGCTTTATAAAGAAAAGAAATTTATTTAGTGCATGGTTTTGGAAACTGACAGTCCAAAATTGGCAACTTCATCTGTTCAGTCTCTGGTGAGGACACCCTAACTGCATCATAATATGGCAGAGAAGAGGAAAAGCAACTGGTTATGTACAGAAGGGATCACAT